CCAATCATTTCATATGCCTACCAAGAAAAAAATAAAACAATTAGAAAGAAAATTCTGCAACTCCGAGATGACTCTAACACAAAAATAAAAACCAAAACAAATAGTCATTGAATCAATCTTATAAAAGCCTTTGCAAATTCTAGCTCCAAAAACCAGCAAAGGTTTTTGGCATCAGAAAAATAGCTGCTGTACTGCTATCCAGATATCACAATTATAGTTGTGCCACAACTGTACTGCCATCCAGAGATCACAAAGTTAATTTCATAATATTATACATCATTAATATAAATTTCCATGCTAGATTCATTAAAAAAAATTAGAAACATATAATCACAAATTTAACTCCCATGTAATTTTTTTTAATCCATTAGATGTTTTAAGAGGACTTCTTTAGTCCCCAGGACAAGCAATAAATAAGTCCACTGGTACATGTACTCCAAACGTGCCTCATATTTGCCATATTATAGTCATCCATCATAAGGTCAGCCTCCAATTGCCTCAAATTTTAATGTTAGAGAACTCCTTTCTTTTTGGCAGACCCCTTAGTGTTAGCTAAATTACCTAATGAACTAGTAAGGAAACAAAAGGGTATTTTGGGGATGAGGTGTGGTGAAGAAGACGAAACGATGGGGAATAAAAGGCAGCAACTACCATTGGAAGGTAATAGATTATCAGATTCTTGTTCACTCTTCTATTTTCTACTTTCTATATCTACCCGAACATAAACTACACATCCATATATATGTAGTAGAATATATATAATCTGGTGGGGCATCTTTCTTCTTCCTCGTTTCCTCTTTGAACAGAATCCGATAGGCATTGGGTGTTTGTTTCATCTGCGTGGACGAACTGAGTACGTAAGATGGTATTCTACATTTTTCCACAAGGCTAATCTCAGAATGAAGAAGAGAGATTTTTTGGCAAAAATAAAAGGGAAAAATGTGACGGTTTAAACGAAAAACAATTCTAAATGGGAAAACATAAGAAATTTTATACGGAATTTCAACTCTTTGTAAAAAATTATAACAAAATGAATTTGCAAAGAGGTTACTTTTCTGGAAGCTCTATTTGCCCATCGATCTTCTTCCTTTTGTGGATTTGAGAATCACTCTGCCGTAAGCCAATCTATGGTGCTCTACATCCAATAGGATCGGGGTGACGGCACAGGCTTCAATCCGACTCCTGCAACTATTTTGTGACTTCTCTAACTTCTTTCAATGACAGCACTACCTTGCGGTTTTGGAGTCGTCGAGATGGGTTCTCTGATTTGTCGGGGGTCCTAGAGCTCCACGAACTCCGATCTGTATTTGATTTGGCAATATGATGGGGCAGTGAAGGCTTTGAATGTGGTGATGAAGGGAGGCCTTTTTTGACTTTACTGAATCGCATGGTAACGATATAGATTCAAGATAGAGAGAGAGGTAGCTAGGGCACTAGGAAAGGAGAAGATTTTTGAGGTCGTGAGGGAGTGGGAGAGAGGGGCGGCCATCAGGATGAGAATTATAAATATATTTTAACAATAATTAAAAAATTGGCGGTTAAATTGCCATTTTTCACCTTAACCGCCGTAACAAATTTTGTAAAAAATGGAGGTTACGTAAACCGCCGTTATAACCACTGTATTTTACTAAAATTACAGCAGTTATAGTTAACCGCCGTATTTAAAGCCCCATAAATCGTCTATTTTTTTGTAGTGCTAGCTTATGTTCATATTCTAACTCAAAGACAAATTAAGCTTGATGATAATAGTGTGAAGTGTATTTTTGTGGGCTATAGTATTGAGACTAAGGGGTATAGATTGTACGATCTTATTAATAAAGAGCTAATAGTGAGTCGGGATGTCATTTTTGATGAGAAAAACTCATGGATTTAGAATGAGCAACAATGTCCAGGTTCTTTAAGGGTCAATGGCTTCTCGGAAGATGATCAAATCATCTCCTAAGGAGAAAATAACGGATGTTCCAGTCCTGCAACACCTACAAACAATAGTTCTAGTGCATCAAATTTATCATCACCGACAACACCACCAGCTCCTAGAAAGGTTTGATCCTTGGTAGAATTCTATGAGCATACTCAATGATGTGAAATGGCACAAGTTGAAAAGCCAACTACTTTTGAAGCTATAGTTGAAAGTAGAGAATGGTGTGCTGCAATGGATGAAGAAATGAAGGCCTTGGAGAAGAACAAAACATGGGAACTAGTGGATTTGCCAATTGGAACCAAAGTTGTTGGCCTAAAATGGATTTATAGGGTCAAATTCAAGTCTGATGGGTCTATTAAAAAGTACAAGGCACAACTAGTTGTAAGAGGATACATGCAGTGTGAAGGAATTAAATTTGAAGAGACTTTTGCACCAGTGACAAGATTTGACACGATTCGAGCTATTTTAGCCATTGCCACTCAATACAAATGGAAGGTATATCAATTTGATGTTAAATTAGCTTTTCTGAATGGTTATTTGGAGGAAGATGTGTATGTACAACAACCCAAAGGATATAAAATTAAAGGCCAAAAGCAAAAAGTGTACAAGCTGAAAAGGCACTTTATAGGTTGAAGTATGCACCACAGGCTTGGTATAGAAGGATTAATGTCCATTTCTATAGCCATGATTTTCATAAAAGTCAAAGTGAGCCTACTTTGTCTATCAAAACCAAAGAAAGAGATGAGGTACTTATTGTTTGTCATTATGTTGATGATTTAATTTATACAAGCAATAGTACCTTCTTATTGAAAGACTTTAGGAAAATTATAGTTAATGAGTTTGAGATGACTGACTTGGGCTTAATGAGCTATTTTTTGGGGTTGGAAGCTATTCAAAATGATGAAGGAATATTTATGTGTCAAGAGAAGTATGTGAATGATCTTCTTGCTAAGTTCAACATGAACAATTATAATGTTGTGAAGAACCCAATGAATACAAGTCAGAAATTCAACTTGAATGATGGGGAAGAAAAGGTTGATTCTATGGTTTATCGAAGTTTAATTGGCAGCCTATTATACCTCGTTAACAATAGACCTGACATTTCTTATGCTACTAGTCTCTTGTCACGATTTGTGCAGAGTTCAAGTAAGATTCATCTTGAAGCAGTCAGGAGAGTGCTGAGATATTTAAAGGGACTAGTTCATATGGAATCTTTTATGTTAAAACTGATGACTTTAGATTACTAACCTATTTTGATAGTGATTGAATAGGTTTGGTTGTTGATAGATGTAGCACTACAAGATATGTTTTCTCAATTGGTTCTAGTGCTAATTCGTGGAGTTCCAAAAAGCAATAAACAACGAGATTATCATTATCTAAGGCGGAGTGTATGGCTCTAACCGTAGCAGCTTGCCAAGGCATTTGGTTGAGGCGTATTATGGAGGATATGTAGCAAAAGCAAGTGGAGGCAACCAAGATCTTCTGTGATGAATTAATCAACTATTGCAATGGCCTAAAATCCTGTCAATCACAGCTATACAAGACATATTGAAACACGTCATCACTTTATTAGGGGGCAAGTTGGTAGTGGAAGCATTCAAGTTGATTATTGCAACACACATGATTAAGTTGCAGGTTGATTTATAAAACCTCTTCCTTTAGACAAGTTTGTTAACTTAAGGAGTCAACTTGGAGTTGTGAATTTTAGCATTAAGGGGGAGCATGTCATGGGTTAATGCTGAAACTGTTTTTCTTTAATTTCTATTCCATTATCTAGTTGGTTATTAGTTGTTTTATTTCATGGACTGTTTCTCCTCTTATTACGCATAGTAGAGAAATGGTTACTTTATTTTAAGCAAATGTTTTCCATTTTCTTTTCACGTACTGTACATAAGTGATAGAGTCTTAATTTTAAGAGTTAGTTATCCTACTCATTGCTATTTAAAGAGCTCATTAGAAGAATAAAAATATATACTACTTCTAGTTTACTTCCTTTCTGCATACCAACTATTTGTTAAAATTCTTCAGAAAGTTTTCTTTGTTTCACCTTTCTACTTACTATTCTAATTATCATTTTTTAACACTTGCACGGCAAACACATTTTTGTAAAAACACTCTCATCAACATAAGATTTGGATAACAGTCGACTACTATTCTCGTATTCAAACCGCACTAGTTCATGGCTAATCAAATCAATTCTACCATGTTGCAGGACAAGAGCCTTACTCTGTGTAACTTTATCCTCAAAGGAGACTTTTTCAATAGGACATCCACCTTCTCCACCACCGCCCGGTGGTTTCTTTGGTGGTGATTGTTCATGAGCCCTTGTTGCTGAGAAAACCATACTCTTCATCACTCCCCCTTTGATTACTTTTCTTTTTAATAAAAATAAGACATACATGAAAATAATATTTAGTTAAAATATTAATTTTAGTCCAAACGCATATAATAAAACAATAAAAAAACTATATAATAATTTGAAATTAAGAAGTTTAAGCCAATAAAATTAAACTTCATAAGTTATTAAATGCAATAATCTCTCAATAGTTACATGGGAGATAATTAGTTCAATCCTGAACTTCTAATTCGGAAATGAACCGAGCTCAAGGTTATCCTCACCGCGTAGGACAACACCAGGTTCCCTTATATATTCGTTTCTTTCTTTTTCTTTTTTGTTTTCTCTCCGAGGGGGCCACTATATTAAGTTTAAGTGTGTTCAAAGAAAATTAATTACATGATCAAGACCTGTGAAGTTTAACAATTTTCCGAAAATTATTTTCCAAAGTATTTAATTAATTGTCATTCTTTCTATAATTTTTTTCCCTTTTCTGCTTTCCATGCCATCCAAAACACACCCTTACAAGCTCTTTGCAGTCCCTGTCTATGTAACTTAATCCTGCATTTAACAAATTGGCTATTCACGTACATTCCCTATGTCTCTCTCGTCACATTAGACCAACAGTAACGACAAAAATGCAGAACAAGGAGGGCATTGCCGTAAACCCGTCAAATCCAACTCGTAAAAGACCCGAAAGACACAGAACAAAAACATCAAAACACACGGTTGTTGCCCAGAAACATGTCGGAACAGGGCGGCGACGAGTCTTCCGACAAACCATGTTTTCCGACTACCACACTCGCGGCGGTCCTCCTTGACTCTTTCAACATCTTCCTCAAAAACCTCCCCCTTTATTTATACATCTTCTTCTTCACCACCCTCCCTCTCTCTTTCCTCCTCTTCTCCCTCTCCCTGTCCTCCCGCCCCGTCACGACCCTAGTCCGCCACCTCGAGGCCCTCGCCCTCCTCGCCCCCACCCGGTTCGAATCACGCCATCTTTGGAAGGAGTCCCGCCGTGAAGCTGTCTCCCTCCTCCGCCTCCGCGCCCTCTACCTCCTTCCCTCCTATGCCCTATCCATCACTGCTGCCACCTCAGCGGTCGCCTCTGCTGCCGCCGCCCTCTCAGGCAAGCGCCCCACGCTGGCCACCGCCGCCGCCGCTGTCAGGTTGACGTGGAAGAGAACCTTGGCCACATCGATATGCGTTTACGGGATCATGATGGGGTATTGTTAAACTGTTGACCATGTCTCCCATCAAAGCTCAACTTAAAAAAAAAAAAATAATTGAGAATGTTTACTATGTAGATTTATTTTATATATAACAAAAAATTAATTTTTAATAATAGTGTTTTGGTATATATAAAAAATAAAAAACCTTTTTTATGTGAAATTTTGATTATCTTAAAAAGAGTTAAAAAGTTAATTTTTTTGCATGAAAAAAAGATATCATTTTGAGATTTTCAACAAGTTAGGCTTTTTGTTTTATGGCTTTCAACTTCTTTCAATTGAAATTAAATGCCTAAAAAACCTTAATTCAAAATTATTAAAATCTGATTTCACCGTGTATTTAACATTTTCTTACTTATTCTTTTGCGTATGTCCACATATGCATTTTTAGGTTGTTTTATTAATAAATAAGGCATTATGTGAGATTTCAAACTAATGAACGCGAGACTTTAAAAGCATAGTCCCTTGTTAGCTTATGTCATTTAAAAGTTCTATCAAATTTTTAGGCCGAAGAATAACTTAATTATTTATTTATTAATAGATATAATTGCGTTCGGCGCATAGCTGAGGTGACCGCGGGAGAGATGGTAGCTGGAATTCTCATCGTGGCGGTGGGGGATGTTGTGGACGTGTACCTGGCGGCAGTAATGAGCCTAGGGCTGGTGGCGTCTATAGTTGAAGAGCGGTTCGGATGGGAAGCCATCCAGGTTGGGTGGGGCGAGATGGCCAAGAGGAAGGTGAGCGGATGGGTCTTGTCGGGCGGGTTTCTGGTGATGTCGGGTGTTATCAGTTGGGAGCTGGAGTGGTGCTTGAAGGGCCAAGATCTCTCGGAGGAGGGTGGATGGACGGCCTTGATGAAATGGTTGGGGCAGAACTCGAGTTTGGTATGCTTGTTCGGGTTGGTGGTGTTGTGGAGCTACATTGTCAACACTGTTTTCTATTTCGAATGCAAGCGAAAACATGGTGTCAATGAATAAAACGAGGACAGACAGAGTCTAGCTTAATTGTTGCGCAGAAAAAGAAAGTGACCAT